CCAACGATTTTGTGACCTGGTCAAGATTCGGTTGATATAATCTGATTGTATCAAACTTGACAGATTTTTATTAGTTTCTAATTATTAAAAGTGAAGGGTCATACATTTTACAATTAGTATTATTTCTTTCAAAATAAAGAAACAGTTTCAATGGTTGTTAATAATGGGATGCTGATGGCAACTGGTGTCATTAAAATAGATAGCACTTCTCTTTTTAACTTGTTTTTGATTGCTTAGAACTTCAGCTTTACCAACCCCTAATCATTCAGGTTAAACATTTTCATTTGCATGTTCTCTTTCACAGATTTATTTATTTGCTTTCAAAAAAACAATTCATCCTTGTTTTAGAATGAAGTTAAGGGAAAACAGAATGTTAAAACTGTGCTAAACCATTTTTCTGACTGTTTGGGGGAAAGTGTGTCAGACTTTTTAACAGCAACTTAATGTTTATTGAGAGAGGCTCCATTCCTGTTTCCATAAAAGCCCATCCAGGGATTGTGGCTCCAGTCATGTATACAGGCAAAGTGAATCATCTTTCCCTTAATCCTGGAATTTCCTAACCTCTTAGTGTTTTATTTTGTAATGTTAATGATGTTTTCATTAACTTGTCTTTTACATGTAATACGTTAGAAACATCAGATAATTAAAATACATTTGTGACTGAATGTCTTTGTAATGCATATTTACCGACAAGCATATCTTGAATGACTGCCAACTGGTTATTGAACTGTTGTTAATTGATGAGCTTTATTTTTCAATATTTCTTAGTCTGAAAGAGGGCATTGGGTGTTTTGCCTGAGTGAGGAGTAAAGATCAATTCCTAACCATTTATGGGCTAGATCAAGGCACCCTGAGGTGCCTTGAGATCCTTTCAGGTGTCCTGTGGGATTTACAGCGGTGATCCCTCAGGATTGAGGATGATCACTCCCATGGGTCAAGTAAAGGATTGCAGATAAGTCAGTTTGGCTAAGATCCCTAGAGTCGCAGACTCTGGCAAATGCCACAGGTGGTGGTTAAAGGGAGGGTCGAACCACAGATTTCTCGGTCCTGTTTCCTTTCCTTCCATTTCTGTTGGTTTTCTGTCTCCAGGGCAAGTTGGTTTTCCTCAAAGCAAGCCACGTAGACCTGTCCCAGGCTAGTTTTTCCCAATTTGTGGTGTCAATGCCACACTTTTTAATGTTTGCCTTGAGGGTGTCCTTGAAGCATTTCCTCTGGCCCCCATGTGTCCTTTGTCCTTGGCTGAGTAGGGAGCATAGCAGTTGTTTCAGCGAACGTACATCAGACATTTGCACACAGTGCCCTGTCCACCACAACCGATGTCAAATAATCAACACATCCATACTGGTGGCGTTGGCATCGGTGAGGACACTAGTGTGATGATCCTCCAACTTTATGCCAAGGATCTTCCACCGGTGATAACACTCCAGGCTTTTCAGGTGTTCCCTGTAGGTCACCCAAGCTTCACAGCTGGGTGGGATTCAGTACAATGTTAGCAGTATTAAGTGTGTAAAACATGATTCACAAGATAAACCTGGAGATTTTAAGTAGGAACCCACCGTGTTAAAAGCATTGTGACCTTTTGTGGTCTTTCTGAGTTCTTAGCAACAGGAGAATTGCTCTATTATTTTTATGCAGTCAAAAATCAAATGAAAACTAAGAGCTGATATTTTCCAATGGGAGTCTTGACTGCAGTGAGAGGAGCCTCAAGGCTAAAATGTTGAGAACCACTGAGCTAGATTATAGGTTTACTGCCCTGCCTTGCCCTGCCCTGCCCTGCCCCACAGGAGCAGGCCACTTTGCTGTTTTTGCCAGGGAATTAATCTGCTATGGCCCTTCATTTTGTTGCAGTACTTCTCTGTGAGTTCCACTCGGCCATGCTACACGGAAGGAGGAATAGCAGACTCAAGGATCTGACTCCATCCTTTTTCACCCATGTGCACGTGTCAGAATTGGGATGTGAGCTGAATCCAGGGCTACACCCTGAATCCAGTGCTGAAATCATGATCAGAGGCAGGCCAAGGTCCAGAAGCCAGAGTTAGGAAGTCACAGGTCACACTTGGCCAGGATCAGAGTGAAGAATAATCCCAGGGTCAGAAGCTGAGGGTTACAATTGGGAGGAAGCCCAAAGTCAGAATCTGACACAGTTACCAGAAGAGCAGGGGCCAGTGTCAAGGCCAGGTAGTAGGATCAGAGTAGTCTCTGACCTGCTGGTTTTAAGGCTGGTATTAGGGGGAATTGGTCTCCTGTCATCGCTGTGTAAGTAATGACTGACCACCAGAGGGATAACTCATCCTGAGCTCGAATCATGATTCATACAGCGTAGAAGAAGGCACCACATGGTCTCTAGGCAGCTAGCACACTTCCTCGTGCTTGACTAAAATATGAACAAAGAAGTTATTGGTGTCTTTCGATGTTATATAGAGATGCTGTGAAACCGTTTATAACAATTGAAGGTCTCATTTTGAGTGATACTGAATATTCCAAGCTGCCGTTGACTTAGATGAGCATCCACAACTGTCATGTAAGATTCAGTTTCCAAATCCAGGTACTTTTTGGGTGTGAACATTTTATAGAGCTTATAATTAAGGCTTCATGCTTTTAAGTGTTGATTTTTTCCTGTTTTTCAGATTTTTAGGCATAGTATGATCATATAGCAAAGGGAAAATACTTTTTTCCTTAAACTATTTTAAAAGTTGGCCCACTCTCATTCCCTTTATTCCTAGAGATATGTCAAACTGAGCTTGAGAGATCTCTAAAATCTATTACTGGCCGCTATAAAAAAATTTCAATATAGCACAAATGAATTACTTTTTTTAGTCGCATAGTCTCAGATCTTTTTTTTTTAAACCACAGTGTGTAGTTATCATTTTTAAGTTAAAACCAGAAACCTACATATTCTGAAAGTGCTTCCTCAGCACTGCTGGTACAACAATACAGTAGTTTCATTTTCAAGGTAAACACATTTAAAATGATTAAGATGCAGATTATTTGTTTTTAACCAACCTGATCTAGTCAGTGCATGTTCAAATGGTAACATATAACAAGACCTAGCACAATCTAATTAAACTAAAGTGTTAATATATTTAGTTCTGTGATATGGGGTAATATGAAGTACTTGCCTACAGGGTGAAAACAATGTATTATATGAGATGCAACAATCTGTTGTGTAAATGAAATATGTTTTATTAAATCTAGGCATAAAAGGATACATGTGTTGGCTGCTGTTTTTGCTGTAAGCATTCCCAAATACTTAACTTAAGACTTCATAGTGTACAATCCTTTCCACAGAAATCTGAAACCAGGCAAGGCATTTGCATTTCTTCAAGTAAAAGATGATCCACTTTAGTGCAACTTCATTGATTTGTCTGAATATATTTTTATTCAGTTGGGGAGGAAAGATTGTGTTAGGTAGCATCAGACCCTGTTCTACTAAGGTAAGCTTCTTAATTACATTACTCTGATAAGATAATTAATGCAACTGAATAGAGATTCAGAATACTGAGAGATGTTTTTGAAATAGATGGTCTTATTCCAGATGGATTATGAAGTATAGAGCAGTTAAGTGTCCTCTGATAAGGAAAAATATGTCAAAATTGTTAGCAACAAGTCAGTTAATTAACGGTGGAACACAGCTTTTTTAAATTTGATTTTTATTTAACATTTGAATCTTAAGGCCAGAATCTGATCTTATTTACATCAATATAAATCCAGACTAATTTATTTGCTTCTGTCACTCAAATTTAGACCTGTATAACTTAGGTTAGAATCTGATTTTTTTATTTGTTCATAAACTTTTGTGTTTTTGATTTTGTTTTTAAATACATACTGGATAAGAAAGATGGGCGGGCCATTAATTGAACATCTGGTGGGTAGCCACAATGAAACCTTGGTATAAAACTGTGGTTCAAGAAAGCTATTTTTAACTGTTACATAAATTTTCTTGTGTTGTGTTTATTTTGAAATAAGAGACTGGATGCTGTGGCCCAAGAAAGAAACACAGTAATCTACAGAGGAGACAAAAGACGTAAATGTAGAACTAATTCAGAAGATTGCCTTAAAAGAAAACAAAAAGATTTTACAATTTTAACTTTCACCTTTTAAAGTAAAAATCAGCTCCCGGCAGAAAACTTTCCAGTGTTATGCTACTATAGAGTCACTGCCAGAAGGAGGAATCTGTAGCAGGAAGGGAGGATGAGTATAGTGAAGAAATATTCAGGGCTAAATGAGCTTTTCCTTTTAAAATCTGAATGTTTTAAAAAATATACCTCAGTTTGAAAAACCACAGTTTATAAACACAATACATGGTCTTGCTAAAATGCTGATATTAATAAGCAGTAGAATCAGCCTTGTACAGGAAAAGAACATTTGGAAAGTCAATTGCTGTATTTTCTTTTTCACAGAGCAATGTACAAGTAAATCTTTGGTCCTTAATCTTTGCTATCCCAGAGCTAACACATGACATACTGGGAATAACACCATCATTTTTATGGTAGGGTTGCTTTGTGTCTATTTTGAAATAAGAGACTGGACGCTGCAGCTTAAGAAACAAACCAACTAATTATACAAAGGAAACAGACAATGGAGCTCTGTAGGCTTTATTGTAGGTGTCTGTCTGTCAACCTCAGTTTTAACTGTTTTTCTCTCTGTGGCTGTGGTCAGTATCAGAGGGTCTGACAGGCAGTGTGCTGCCCATGAGCTAGGGGCCACAGTTTTACACTATCCTGTTATGAGTTGTTGCAAGTATTGTTATAAGGGACGCTTAAGAGTCTCATAACCAAAAGGAATTGGAGAAAATATTTTTCCATTTCTTACCTTGACAGATCTTTGAATATTTACTTTTATGGGGTTTTTTTCTCTTTGTATGGTCTTCTGCACAGGACCAGGGACATAGGAATGCCCCCCCCCCCCATATTAAAATTGTTTAATAAATCCACAAAAAGTTATGGGGAAAGAATTTTGACACTACTTTCCTTTTCTCTAATACATACTTTACCTTAAAATCTGATTATTTAAATGTGTCCATGTGAATATTTACCTTCCACTTCAAAGGAATTTAAGACTTTTTTTTCCTATGGAGTTCACTAAGGACCTACCCCTTCAGCAGACTGTAAATATATTAATTTAGATGTGGTATGGGAAGCATCTTCTTGTGAATATGATGCCTCTTGTATTGTGAATGGCCCAGTAGTATTTGGCAGCTCAGGTCCATGGTTTACAATGCACAGTGTAAAGGTTAGCAACTTTTAAAAAAATTTTAAAATTCATCCCTGTCTCAATCCTGTGAGATGCTGCGGAGCAGGAAACACTCCAGAGAATTTTGCAGGATATAAAACTTTGTTTTTTCTGTGATTTATTAGGTCACAATTATAGTTTACACTACTTGAACTTTTTAAAAGGCTGATGTGGTGGAAAATGTAAATGATAACCTGCCTTGTTTCTGATTCTCAGGAACTATTTTATATATGTTTTATGATTAATTTATTTTTCTTTCCATTGTTTGGTATAACAGGGTACAACCAATGTCAATGTTGTGGAAGAACCCCATAAAGCAAGTGAGAAAAATAAATCAACAGCTATTTCAAAGCAAAAAGAACAATGCCTTGTACCATGCAGTGTTCAAGCAAAGATGTTACGAGGAGAAAAACAGTACATGTGCAGTATGTATTTTTTGAGAAAAGCTTTTGCTTCAGCAGTGAACAGTACACTACACTATGCAGTATTTATTTGATTCTGCCTAAGAATATGTACCAGCACCTGCCCCACAAGGCAGCTGGTTAGTGGCCAGCTCCAGGGGCTCAAACTGTCTAATGGGTCCCTGGAGCCAGCTGACAATCAGCTGGTTGGGCACTTTTGCTAGACCTTATTTGTACTGGCAAGTAGGGCATAGTCCCTATTTGTACTGGCAAGTACGGCATAGATAGATCCACCATCCCAAAATTGCACATCCTGCCATGCACATGTAGCATGGCAGGAGGTATGAATCTTGGGATTGCAGAACAGATCCCATCATACCTTTCAACTGAATGTTTGTCAGTGGCCTTAAACTTTATGAAACAGATATGGAGTTTATTCAGCTTAAAATGGTTCTTTAGTTTTATAATATAATGGTTGACAATACCTCTTTTCAAGGAAATCTGCAGAGTTCTCTTGTTGAATATGCAAGAAGTACAAAACAAATGATAAGAAATATGATGGATGATCAACAGTCGTCTTTGGATTATCTTTCAAATCAGGTACTCATTTTCCTTTATACTTAGTGAATTTCCTTTAATTTAGCATGGTCGTTGCTTATCTAACGTTTATATTTTAATTAAAACAATAAAAACTCAGATGTGGTTCTCCACTGCCTTCCACTTTGGACAGTGATTTACACTTGTATAAATGCCATGGACAATACTGCCATGCTAATTTGACTGTGCTTTACAGTGTACACTCACTTTGTATAGATATATGGGCCTGGTCAAAGTCCCAGCTGGTCCACTGAAAGACTTTTCTTGATGTTGGTGCTAGTTGGTTGAAGACCTAATAGACTACAGACACAAGATGTGGAAAATTGTGTGTTGAATTCATTACATTAATACATTAGGCATGTGCATTGCTATTTGTCAGTAAAATAAATTTCAGAGCATGCGCATCTGGGAGGGAATAAGCAAGTCTTTAGAATTCAAATCTTGCTGCTCCAGTCTGAGTATATTCAAATGACCTTATGCTTGCAGGTGAATGAACTTATGAACAGGGTCCTTCTTTTGAATGCAGAAGTATTGCAAAAACATTTGGATCTGCTTCCTTACAAAACAGTTCAATCTCATGGTAAATACTTACCTTGCTTAACCTTTACACTTCACTGTTTACCTTTATGATATCCTGGCAAAAAAATAAGAAAAGCACAGCGAAGAAAATATCGGATTTATAGTACCTACTTGGTGTTCATTCTCCATATATCATCTTTGGAAAATTTGTAAAATGTTTAAAGGTGTTAAGTGTTGAAATAATGTTGTAGCTCTGAGGGTCTAGGAAATATGCAAGAGGCAAAGATATTTTTGAGGGGTGATATCGTTAGTTGGACCAACTGCATGCTTGGGAGAGATTTTAAGCAAACATGAACTTTGTTCCTGATAATGGCAGCTCCTACTGCTGTTTTTAAACCAAGCTTACTCTTAAGTGGAAAAAATCATGCAAAGTATCACGCTTAGACTTGGCCTGATCCTGTGACTTGAACAGACTTGATCCTGTGGGGTGCTGAGTTCTTTCTGTAGTGAGAGGACAGGATTCTTAGTACCTTGTAAATTAATGCTTCTTTGCTTCTTCTGGGTAAAAGTCACACCTGTGCATAAAACTAAGTACAAAACCTCTGCTTCACATAAGTACTCTTTGTTTTCACCCTTCCAAGCAGAGGAAATTTACTTTCAAGAAGTCCCATTAACTTCAATGAGACTGCTCACTTTGCTAAGTAAACGAGTAATTGAGCTCAAACTCAGAAACAGAGCAGTTTTGATATATAGTTTGATTAAATGATTAATAAACTATGAATCCAAATATCTGCAAAGAAAGGTCAGCAATTACTTTAGAGTCTTATCCTGAAATCCTTACTTGGATAAAACTTCCATTGACTCAGCATGTGAGGCAAGGATTTTTGTGGATATCTCTTACTGGAGCAACTACATGATAAGGATAGATTTAGACAGGCTTTCAAATGAAGGGCATTCTTAATACGAAATAACCTGTAGGATCAGACCTATGATGTGTAATATTTACATTCTCTACTGTGCTATTTTTTATTACAAATTATATTCCATCTTTATCTTTGGCCAGAAGAAGAAATCTGTAGGAACTTTCTAAAGGGGTATAGTATAATGGAAGTTCTCTAAAATTTGTCATTTTCTGATCATACCTGAGAAAATTTTCATTAAAAAAACTATGATAAATGATCATTTTATATTTTATCTACAACAAAATATAATTTGAGATGGTTCAAACATTCTTAGCAAAATGTCTGCCTATATATGTTTAACCGGTATTTGGTTTTACAGTGCTTAGCCTGCACTGCAATGAATAATTTGTTTTCTAGGACTGGATTGCACTGATATTAAAGATACCGTAGGTTCTGTTTCAAAAACTCCATCTGGCCTGTACATTATCCATCCAGAAGGATCAAAATTTGCTTATGAGGTAACAAACTTATTTCACATTGAACAGACTTTGCTTGAGAATATATAATAAGAATATGTTTTATAATTTTAATTATTTTCTTTGATTGTTTTTCAGTATCAGAATTGTATTAAAAATCATCCAGGTGTCTGTGTCGTCATTACTATTTGAAATCTTTCCCACAAAGAATTTTAATCTTTGGTGTAGAATTTTGGCATCCCTTATCATGTAAAATGAATTCCATGTGGAAGAGAAAAGCTTATTATCTGATGTACCATATACATCTCTCATGCCTTCTCACACCCAATAAAGCTAATAAGGAGTAGCTTTATTATGTCCAGTTCAGAGATAAGAAGGTCAGGTGCAGAGAGGTTTAGCAATTGTTCAAGATAACAGCAATTCTGTGGTGTAGTAGGAAATTAAACTCAGGTTCCCTTGATCCAAAGGCAGTGTCCTAACAGCAGGACCATCCTTTTTTCTACAAAAAATCTCACAGTGTTTACAAGTGTTTGTGCCATTGTCATGGGCATGAATAGCTGGACTATGGAAGTAGCACAGGGCACAATGTAACAACTAAACAGAACTTGAGGGGCTGGAAGAAATTCTCTTAGGCCCCATAGACCTCAGGACATTTACTTGCAGTGGCTATTTTATTAGTCTCCCAAGCTATTGCCAAAACTGACAAGGATGCACAATTTTAGCACAGACACTGTTTCTCAGTGTGGCTTCCAGTGCCAGTGTTGCTCCAGGTATGGTGCATGGGCTGCATCTAGCCCACAGAGCTGAGTTGTCTAGCCCATGGGGCTCCCCATGAGTGTAGAAATATGGCAGTGGGGGGAGTGGTGGCAGTGTAAATTGCCATGGCTCTGAGAGTCCTATAGCAATTAATGCTGCCATCATTCCCCTGTTACTACATATGCGGGACCATGTTATCCTACTCATGGGAACCCCATGAGTAGGATAACATGGCCCCGCATACTGGTTTTGCCCTGGTGTGCCAAGGCCTGTCTGCAGCCTGGGCTGTGTGCTGACTGGCTCTGCCCCACTCATCTGGCCCATGCACTGTAAAGGTTGAGGACTACTGGCGTAAACATATTCTTTTCTTATCTAAGAACTAGGTAAAGCTGTAGAGAAAGTTAATGCTGATGGAATGGATGGAAAACAAATCTTATGAGAGGAAACTAAAAGAGAATGGCTTGTTTAGCTCAGCCAAATGAAGGTCAAGGCAGGATATAACTGCTGTCTATAAATCCATTAAGAGTAAGCACTAGAAAAGGAAGACAGTGGGACAAGAAAAACTGTAAAACCAGTAAATAGCAAGAACCTGATGGGAGAAAATCAGGAAGGCAAAGGCAAAAAATGAGCTGCCTCTGAGGGAGTTTAAAGATAGCAAGAAGAGGTTCTGTAAGTATGTTGGCCAGAAAAGAATGACCAAATAAGCTGTGGGTCCATGTAAAACCCTGCACCTATGAGTAGGAAGGGGGGAATGTAGCTGGAGGCAGGTTGCAGACATCCTGTGGGCTAAGCCACAGGAGATGTGAGCTGCCCATGTGAACTAAGCCATGGGCTGAAAAGACAGACTGCTAATGAGTAAATGAGCAGAACCTGGATGATGGGAGCAGAGGATGAAATCACATGACCAGAAGGGGGCTGGGCTTGGGCCATATAAGTCCTGCCTCTGGTCATCAAGGGGGCAATCAGGCCAGTCCAAAAGTGGTACCTTGGTGACCCAGAGAGGTTTGTATTTGTGTTAGGACCAGTTAGGTTGGGATTTTTTTTTTCAGTTTAACCGGCAGACTGGATTGTGGCTGAAAGGGAAGTGGATACCATGTAGCCGGGTGCCTGGGACACTCTGGGTGTCAAGCCCCTGCAAGGGGGCAGGGGGAGTGAGCTAGGATAGAGTTGAGAGGGCCAGGGCCTGGGCACAAACGGAGCAAGCTGAGTGAGGGCTGAGGACTTAGCCAGGTGAAAAGGCAGCCAAGATGGCTGACTCCCCAACAGGCACATGGAGGCCTGTGAGATGGATCCTTAAAGGGGAGGCATCTTGAGAGAAGTACAGAGACCCCAAGGATTAAGTGTAGACATACAGGAAAGCCCTCACTATTCATGGATTTGGCATTCACCTTTTCGAATATTCATGGTGCCGTGCCAACCCATGCTGTCTCCCCGCTGGCAGCATGATGACACTGTTACAGTGCCATCGTCATCTGTGGGAGCTCTGCGCTTGCCACCACTGAGCTCCCGCCTCCACCACTGCACCCCCACTGCTGTCAGCACAGCCGTGTCCCCCCAGCCGCCGGGGGCATGTACCATTTGTGACGCAGTACAGTATGTATTCATGGATTTCACCATTTGTGGGGATCACTAGACATATTCCCCATGAATGGCAAGGGTCTGCTGTAGTAGCAAGGAAAAAGCTGGCATGGGGAGCTCCAGAGAAAGTGCTCCCAGGGACCATCACCTGAATAAACTAACAATAACATCAAAAGAATGGCAGGTGGGAGACGGAGGTGGGGTGGGGCTGGAGAGAGCAGCAAATGGGTCAGACCTCCACGTGCTGGGACTGAGGGTAGCAGACCCACAAGGTGTGCTGCAGTTCACTGTTAAATAGCTAAGGGGAACTCTTAACAGAAGCCACCAAGAAGGCAGAGCTACTCGACACATACTTTGTCTCCATCTCCTCACAAAAACTAAGCTGTGACCAGACAGCTAATATGGATTATTTGGATAAGGAAGGAGCCATGCTGAGTGATGAGATAATGAAAGAAATGGTCAGAGAGCTTTTGATGGGTCTGAATGATCTCAAGTCAACAGAACTAAAATGCTAGATTCCAGAAAGAGCAGGGCAGGGCTTGCTGAATATCATCCCAAGGTACTGAAGGAAGTGGTAGAAGTGATTTTGGAGGCATTGGTAATAACATTTTTGAAGGTGTGGGAGATGGGAGAGGTACCAGAAGCCTGGAAACTTACTGCCCCTATGTAAAGAAAAGGTAAAAAGAGAACCCATGGAACTACAGATGGGTTAGGCTCACCTGAATGCCCAGGATGCATATCTTAAGGAAGTCCATTTGAAACCGTCTGGAGAAGGAAACACTCATCACAAGCAGTGAGCATGGATTTACTAAAAACAAATTGTGGCTAACAAACTTGATCTCCTTCAACAAACTAACTGCTTGGGTGGATGAAGGGAATGCTTTGGACATAGTATACCTGGACTTCAGCAAGGCTTTTGACAAAAACATACAGTATTGGAGAAATGTAAGCTAAACAAAACTAGTATAAGGCTCATAGACAATTAACTTAAGCAGAGAGTAATTATAAATGGATCCATGTCAGAATGGCAGCAGGTTTTGAGTAGTCTCTCACAGAGATCTGTCCTAGGTCTGTGCTGTTCAACATGTTTATTAATTATTTGGTTGCTGAAATAGCTTCTTGAGAAAATTTTCAGGTGACATGAAACTGGGGAGGACTGTGAACTTTTTGTACAAGAGCCCAATAAGCAGGATCTTAACAGACTGAAAAATTGGGCAGGAGCTAACAGAATGTATTTCAGTGCTGACAAATGCATGGTGCTCTGTTCTCATCTTAGTTATGGCCTGAGATCTCATAGTGGCTAGAGGAAATTCTGCAAGGACACTTTGAAGGCATATCTTAGGAAGACAGATGCCAACATCAAGAGCCATAGGAGGAGCTGGCTGCTAACTGACTCCAATGGTGCTACAACCTCAATAAGCAGCAGCCCATTTTGATGTAAAGTGTCCTGCCCTTGAAGCAGAGAAGAGAGAGTGGACAGTGGCAAAGGAGGAGAATCCAAGCCTACAGCTTACTCTCTCCTGTGGAAAGAGATGAAACATCTGCAGACAGATCCGTGGCTCAAGGACTGGACTCTTAAGTCACTTCAAGACCCACCAGTGGGCTGTGGCAGAGATCATCTTGGAATCAAGGGATTGCCAATGATTTACAGAGGAAGATATAACTACAACCTTTCAGTGAGGAGAGGGATTTTTTTACTCTCCTTGCTATAACTTTTGCTAGATGTATCTAAAATGATAACGTTAATTTAACTTCAGAAGTATTTTTGACATTTTTCCACATTTTAAGGTTAGTTGTAATGTCCAAAGAGGTTAGAGTCAGTCATTGTATATATAAGTAGGAAGATTCCTTAAAATAATGAGTGAATCATGGTACACAAGTAATCATCAACTGGTTGGATCATTATAATCAAAAAGTAGTCATCAATGTCTTGGTTTCTAGTTAGTATGAGGTACCAAGTAGGGTTCACCAGGAGCCTGGCTCTGGCTTTATTTAATATCTTTATTAATGATTTGGATGATGGGATCAAGTGCACGCTTAGTGAATTGAGGATGATACCAAGTTGGGTGAAGTTGGGCTGTGGAGTAGGGTTAGGATCTAGACTGGAGAAATGATATGCAGTCAGTCAATGAGATTCAAGAAGAACAATCCTTACTCTTTGGATGGAATAATTGCATGTACAAACAGACTGGCTCGGCTGTGGTACTGCCAAGAAAGATCTAAGGGGTTACAAGAAGGATGTGGGCAGAATGGAGAGTGTCCAGTGCAGAGCAACAGAAATGATTAGGAGTCTAGGAAGCAGGACTTATGGGAAAGGCTGAAAGAACAAGATAATTTTGTCTGGAGAAGAGAGAGACTGAGAGGGATTTGATAAGTCTTCCAATATCTGAAGGGCTATTTATAGGGAGGATGGAGATAAGGTTTTCTCTGTGGCTGGAGCAATGGCCTCAAGCTTCAGCAGAGGAAATTTAGGTTGGATTAGGAGGAACATTCTGACTATGAGGCCTCATGTATACGTTACAAGCAAGAGACTGTCTATACATTACACCTTATGGTATGTGTAATAGGGTTCCAGAGCGAAGCCCTGTTATTTGAGAACTCTTGCAGCTGATAGTGATTATGGCTTGGTGGGGCGAGGAGATGCCCCATGCCTGCAGAGAGCCAATGGGGCTCGGTGCCCAGGGATATGAAGTGAACGCTCCTTAGGGAAAGTTGCCTTTGGGCTCCACAAGACGAGAGAGGAGCTGCAGGGGAAACTCTCTCTGGGAGAAGGATCCAAGAGGAGGGATCCATAATGCAGGATCAGCGTGAGCCAAGGGATCCTGGAACTCTGAACCACGCACCACTTACCTGGAGGCTGCGGGAACAACAGTGAGTGCGGGGGAGAGCGGAGCCGTGACACGGGAAGAAGCCGCGGTTTCTGCACTGGGATGCCAAGAGGCAAGATGAAGCCAAAGAGGGCAGCAGGAGGAGCGTCACTGGCCCAGACCCCTGAAGAGACCAGGCAACCTCCAGACCCCCAAGGGAGAGGGACTCTGGGGGGCCGAAAGGGTGAGAAACGGCCGCGGGAGAACCATGAAACCCGCATGCCGGCTCTGCACAGCAAAGGAGACAGGGCAGCGCCCGTAACAAGCTGCTAATGAGGCAATTAGCGGCAGGAAGCCCCAACCTAAACAGAACAAAGGATACTTTTCTTTTTTTTCTTCTAATTCTTTTTGATCTAGCAGACCTCCTGAGGCTAAAAAGAAAGGCCTACA